CCGCATTCCGGAGGATCTATCGGCAAAGCATTCAGCTTCAACTCTCAAGCAGAAATGTGCTGCAAGTTTATCAAAGTGAACTATGCGAGTTTAGGCTGAGCGCGAGTATCAGTTCTAGTTCATCGTTAGTAAAAAATAAGGGACGACTTTACCTTTTTCCCGATTTATTTAAATGAGAATCGGTGCATTCGGCCATTTAGCTAGCTGTTCTGTATGCCACCAAGGTTTTCTTTTACTCTTTGTCTTTGAATTACTTGTGTAAATGTGCTTACGGACAGATTAGCCGATGGGTTTGTTTTTCAATTAAAGGCGCATGCTTCGGTGGAGCGGGCAGGACTTCTCAGTCTCCTGGAACTTCGTCCACTACCCTGCAATGAGAAGTTTGAATTGGAGGGGCAGACGCTGCGAAAGGCTGTGGAGGAGGACGTCGCCAATGGTCGGATACCTTTCTATGTACGTCTCCTCTTTATTTCAAAATTTCTTCACTGATTCCGTTACACTTTCCTGTCCAGAAGCAGTCCTTGTGCATCCTATATAAGCGGGCGTGGGATTCCCGGGAAGCAATTGAGAAGATGTAGATGTGATCACTTGGACGATAATTTTAGGTAAGGCCCCACAGCGGGATTTGTGTATTATAACCACCTACTTACAAATTGTAAGTAGGTCACTGTATACAGTATACACTGCATACAATAACCGCTTAAGTCGGTAGAATGGCTGTTCAAATTACCCATGGGAATAAGCGCTTCCTTATATATTTTATGTAGGATGAATTTCCACAATATTCCAACTTCTTCATTCATTCGCCGTTATTCTAGTTTGGGTTAGCGTTAGTACTATAAATGTACCTCAATGACCTCGCCCGAGTTTGGCGAACACTCCCCCCCTCCCAACATACACGCGCTCGACGCTGGTCCAATAGGGGTTTGCGATGATATTAAAATGTACTTCAGTGCCCTCACCGAGGTCAGCGTACAGACCCCAACTTACCCTCGTTACTTTTTTTATTTTAAATGATTATTGCGAACTTGTTTGTTCCCTAACATGCCCCACCTATCCCCTAAAATCGCGTGCCCGTTAGACCAAGGGGCGCGCTTTGCACGCACTCAGGCGGCCCCACGACGAATTCCTACTGCATTTTATTCGCCTGACGTTTCGAAATCCATCGCGGAGGCGTTAGCAGACTCATACAGAGATATCTGCAGTATTTATAGATTATAGTCGCTATGCTATTGCAAACCTACAAAAATTAAAGGTTTCCCATTCTAAGAGAAGTGTTGCCTTAAAATATACCTCTGTTACCAGCAAAAATAATTTCCATTTGGGAGTAAACTCTATGAAGCAGGAAATTTCCGGAAATTTCGCACTTCTTTACAAGTTGTGCAGAACTTTCGTCAGCCATTTCCCCTCTCACGTCATCCAGCTAAAGTTATGTTTACCGAAAGAACATACATTTGAAATTACGTTATTTTGGCAGCGAGCGTTATACCTGCATGAATCGCCAAAAATAAGCAGTCATTCGAATCGTCCAATCAGCGTACAAGCTATTCCGAGTTAAATTTGCTGATCGAGGTACTGTTAACAGAAACTGACAATACAAAGAGGCTAGGTTATCGAAATGGCACAGGCTCGAACGTCAAGTGCTCCCAAACCTGGAGCGGTATAAGAATGATTTTAAGAGGGAAAATGCCCATTCATAACTTTCTTGCGCCTGTCAGTAAGCTCATTGTGCATATCCTACTAGTCGATGTGCTACTACTGTGGGACACTAGAATGTGTTTTAAGACACAACGGAATGAACACGTCCCAGAATCGCATCGGTTAGCGCTCTTCCAATATAGCTACTGCTTTCTGTCGCAGCAGCCATTACAACAGGCACGTAACTGAATGATGGAGAGTTGGGCTTACTGAACCTCAACGAACAAAAACACGTTTTCGAGACTCAAGGCCTGCCACGGCCATTTCTGACTCAGCAATCAACGTCGGTCTTGTTAAGGGGGGTTTGGCA